GGTGGATAAGGGCGCCACATAAAATGGGCGACGCCTAGACCACGCCGACTCAAAGACGTCCATGGCCAGGAGACCATACGTCCAACAGAGCCAATAAAACGAGTCGGCGACGACTGGCCAATCTGCGAACAGAGGAATGAACCGAGACAGCTGTCCGCCAGGACGCAGGACACACCCCGGACATCAACCTCATGGTTCGCCAAACCCCGAGAATCCAGCAAACGAGCCACTACGGAACCAACCCCAAAGGTCAACACCTAAGAGAAACCCTGTGGTTCTGGCAAGAACCGCCAGAGAACAGTCCGAACGGAGCTGAATGGTAGAGCATCGAGTGACCCAAACCCTCCGAAGCGCAAACCAGACAGCTACAAACTCCTGAACCGTGCTGTGAGCCCGATGGATGAACAGACTCCACCATCCCCGGCCGACCTGGTGAGCACTGGTCACGAAGCCCCAGCCGAGAGATGACCCATCCGTGAACACAGCGAGCGAAGGCTTGGCACCTCGGGGAGGTGCCAAGGCACGGAACCCTGAAAACCCCAAAGAGGGAGCTGGTGACGCAGCACCAACACAAGATCCCCGGAGGAACGAACCCAACGAATGCAAGAGCTGGAAGGGGAGTCTCCGAAGGAGCCAAACAGACGGCGAAGCCAAACCCGACCCCGCGGGCAGACCAGCATGTCGAAGTTCAGACTCCCGCATAACTGCTCAAGCAAATGCTGAGCAACCCGGGACCCCCTCATGTACAGCCGAAGGCGGGACCACAGCCACAGTAACACTTCTGGAGGGAAAGACAAGGAGTGGCCCAAGAGCCCTAAACAAGGCCCAGGTCCGAACCCGGGATGGAAACAGATGGAATGGCCTCCAGATCACCAGGAAATCAAACCCGGCAATCTGGAAAGAACCACACCCCTGGGGAGCAGACAAGCGAACTGACTGGGAGCAGACACCAGCCAGTCATCGAGGTAGGCCAGACACTGAATCTCAAGCAGACTCAAACAGGGCACTAAGATCCGGTAAAGATGCAAAAAATACATCAAGTGCCAATTACAAAATAGGGAAGGCTACAAAAGCAGCAAGCCTGAAGCCCCACCACCAACTGTGCCAGTCCCGGAAAACTGGAGAGGAACATGCCAAGAATTGACCTGGAGGTCCAGGGCCACCATCCAGGCACCCGGCCCCAACAGAAGCCGGACAGGAGACAACAGTTCTCCGAGGAGGGCATAGAATCCAGGGTGCAGACTGAAGAAGTCCAGAAGAACCGCAGATGCAAAAGGCCCATGACTGCAAAGAGCAGACTGGAACCCCAGAAATATGGGGCGGATCGACCACGTCCAACGCACCCACTAAGATGACATGATGAAGCACAGGGGAAGAAGCCCACCCCGCCAGCTTTGAACCCCCCAAAGGGGAAGAAGCCGTCCACCGACGCCACCAGAGGCCGGAAGACAACCAAAAGCGCCCACCAACAGCGGGACCATGCGAGAGTCAACAAAGCAAGCTGCTCCCCCAGCCAACCGTCAACAGAGAAGGGAACAGAACCCCTTCCGAAAGAAAAAGTACACACACACATATATACACATTATGTATACAGTATACACATACATACAAGGTATGTTACACACACGTGTGTATACACCTGTGCACACACACACAGCGTACACACGCACATGCGTACACACGCATGCGTGTGTACCGCAGAAAATTCACTTTCGTAAACAGAGTGGTAGACGGTTGGAACAAGTTAGGTGAGAAGGTGGTGGAGGCCAAGACCGTCAGTAGTTTCAAAGCGCTATATGACAAAGAGTGCTGGGAAAACGGGACACCACGAGCGTAGCTCTCATCCTGTAACTACACTTAGGTAATTACACTTAGGTAATTACACACACACATACACTTTAAAAGAAAAGTACAAGTCACCAACGAGTGGGCAGAGAGCACCACGCCGGCCAGGCAAAGAAGGCACAAAACTGCATCAAAAGGCCCACCTCGACAACAAAACCTCAAAGTCCCAGCACGACCACAACATGTGCCAAGACCCAAAAAGATCAGTCTGCAAGCCAGGAAGACCCCGGAACTCCAGAAGGCAGAACCGGGTCACACGAGGAAACAAAGCCCCCTGAACCCACAAAGGGGGCCGAAGAGGAAGAAACCTCCGGAACGAAACCAAAGAACCCAAAGGAACCTAGAATCGAACCCGGGGTAGCCCAAACCACCACATTTGCCACATTTCTGACACCACAGAAAGGCAAAGCACAGCCCCCAGACAGAACCATCAGGGAAACGGTCATAACAGACCGAAAACCGAGGGACAAGGTGTGGGAGCAAGCATAACAGCCAGGGACACCGAGCCCAAACCCAAGGGCCCAGACCCAAAACAGACAAAGGGAAACCCGGTGTAAAATCAACACCCAAACGTTCCCAGAGGAACAGGAAACGGGCAGAAAACACCAGAAAAGCAAAGAAACGACAACAGGAGAATAAAACTCCCTGAAAAAAGGTGAAAACTCACCCAAGAAGCTCGCTCGTACACCCAAGCGCATGTAATAAACTGCAACGCCGCCCTGGTGGCCACGCTGGGAAACTGGCAGCCGAAAATGGCTGCCAGACAGAGGGCTGTGACTGATGCAAAAGATACGAAAACACGCCAGCAAAAGTGGGAAGCAAGCAGACTGGATGGGCAAAAAACTCCGCCCAAAAGCAGAAAAACCCAGGCAGGGGCAAACCGCCCCAGAACTGCTAGCAGGCATCCCCCCACAGCCCCGGGAACCAGCAACAGAGGCCCCGTACAGAGCCGTTCTCCAAGCCCTCCGCCCTTAAAAAAAAGCAAGAGTCAATGGGAAAGGCAGGAAGAAAGAGCCACTGGTAAGACCCAGAAGCCTTGGCAGGAGGAACAGGCTCAAAAAACCTCCGTCCTCCAACCTGAACAGGGCAGTCCCTGAAAACCGCCCGAGTCTCCGCCCCAACTAAACCCCGCCCCGACCCCAAAACCCGCAGACGGTCCAGAGCCGGGAACAGGGAGGGAAAGGGGTGAACAGCACCTAACCAAAACGGGGTGGCCTCGGGGCATCCGAGTGGGAAACCAACCTAGCATGTTGCAGCAACCTAACCTAGCTTGCAACATGGATGCCGCCTGTACTCTGAACAGTAATAACATCAGGAGTTTACTGGAGAACAAGCAGAGAATCTCTCGCAAGACTCCGGGTCAAGGTGCCAGTGACCCAACAGGCAGCATGACGGAGGTAAAACTGGCGACTGTCACCCGGAGACAAGGGCACAGCAACCAATGATCCTGTACAAGACGGGTTGGAACCGGGAAGACACATTCAATGGTCCCCCAAGCCCAGACAGGGGTTTCCAGGGCCCGTAGGTTGACTGCTACGGGAAGCCCAGGCAAGGTGTTGCTAACCGGTTAAGAAGCCCAAACATAAGAAGAGGGTAGATTATAGCACTGAAAACCCCTGAGACGTGTACAATAATGGGGGCCTAGCAGAGGGCCGCCAAACACTACCAGTGGAACTGTAGCCACACTAGGCAGACCCCCACCAGGCATGAAAATAAAAACAAAAGAAAAACCCAGCAAAAGTACACCGTCTCCAGAGGCAACAGGAACCGATCGCCGCTTAGGTGGCAGGCTGTGCAACACCTTGATGCCCTAACCAGCACAATACCAATCCCTACCCAGGGCCAAACAAGGGTCCCCAGCCCCAGCTGGCCCCAAGGGCGAGGCAAATGCCAAAAAGCAAGAACCTCTACGGGAATGGTTCCCGAACGCCCCAGGGAAGATAACCCTGTTACGCAAGGGCAGTACTCACAGGGCGCTTAGGGAAGTCAGCCACTAAGCGCATGCAGCCCCAACACTGATGAGGTACTCCTGGCCACTGCACATCACAACACACGGCAGTGAACGCCACACAGGGCAAACACCGCCTAGGAAACTGAGGCCAGAGAAGCGTCTATCCCGGTTGATATTAGCTTACGAACTGAAGCTTGGCACCCGGCGCGGTAGGTCCGGGGCTCCCCCCTCCCCCTCTCGGGGCGGGGAGGGCTGCGCGGACGATCGGCGCGGCAGTAAAGTGTGATGTTTGCTTATTTGCTTGTTTCCTTGTGATTGTAGGGAGTTTCTACCTCTCTGTTCGGTTTTTTGTTTTAGTTTTTTACCATGTGGGGTTTGTTTTGTTATGCCTACCTTTCTGGGTGCCTAACCCCGGTCGATGGCAGATAAGGAAAACCCCAACCACAAAGGGGTTTTCCAGGGCCATTGCTCCCTGAAACCTCTCTGAAGGGGCCAGGTTCTGGCGCTGGTCCCTGGTAGGTCTGAACTCCTTAGCTATTGTCCCGATCTAATATAACATACTACTATCCCCTACACTTTACTTTCCTCCTCAGCTCTCTCTTGCCTATTTATTGCCTGTCCCTACCTCATCACAATCGACTTGAGAATGGTCCAGGACGGACCGAAACGTCGTCGTCCCTTCAACTTCTAGTGTGTGGTCTGGTCAACATACTTCAGCCACGTTATTGTGACTCATCGCCTGCATAACATACATTAGCCTGATAAGCTCCAGGGAGCCGTAGGGGCTCCCCACAGAAAGGTATTTGTTTCTGGTATGGTGCCCATGAGTTCTGTTACAACCTTCTAGGAAGCATTGAAGGTCCCCCTTCAATGCTGAATTGTAATTGACATTACAATTCAGAGTTTTAAATATATAGAGTACACAAGAGAGGATGTGCAGTGACTTAATATCTAACATATTCAGAGATTTGAGTAAGGGTACCGAGTGCTGTCTGGGACCAGAGTTAGATATTGTTCTAATAGCAGCTTTGTGTTGGGTAATTAGAGGACGTAAATGATTTTGGGTAGTAGAACCCCAAGCACAAATACCATAGTTGAGATAAGGATAGATGAGAGAGTAATAGAGCATCACCAGGGCAGGGCAAGGAACATAATATCTGATCTTAGAAAGAATGCCAACAGTTTTAGAAACTTTATAACTTACTATCCATGCTCATCAGGGATCTTTATGCCTTTTGAGTGAGGTTGGGGTCCAACACCAACCCAGAAATATACTTCCTCTCCTGTGCCATCATATGACATGTCTGAAACAAAAAATATAGAATAATGTTCATTATTAAAAAACATGTCAATTATAAAGCATGTCAGCTCAATAGCCTACATTTCTGGAGGGAGACCCATTGGCTCCCTGGAGCTATCCAGACTGAATGGATATGTATAACTTTCTAGCATCAGTCAATGTGTGCGGAGTTCTTGCCTACTGGGGACCATGAGCCAGAACTCAAGAGAGGCACGAGGAGCAATGGCTTACAGAAACCCCCGTGTGGTTGGGAGCATTCTATGCCTGCCATCGACAGGATCTGGCACCCAGAAAGGTAGGCGTCCCAAAACAATCCCCTATTTTGGTGAAACTAATGCTACCGAAAGCTGAACGAGTGGACAGAACTCTCCAAATGAAAATTAGCAAATGAGCATGACGTCATCATGTCGCCAAGCCGCTGTCTGTACAACGGGAGAGGAAAGGGGAAGCCCCAGACCCCCACGCCAGCAATCCTTCAGTTCTCAGGCTGATGTGCTACTGGCGTGGTCTTGTGCCTCTGGCTCCAGCGATTTGTCTCAGATTCTGTGCCTTGTGGCGTGGACTGTTTCTACTGGTGGTGTGCGATAAGATTCCAGGAGTAATATTCTTCAATACTCAGGCTGCATGTGCCTAAGGCCACCTTCCCTAGGTGTCCTGTAATTACTACCCTTGGGGCTTGGAGCCACCTTCGACAAGTCACCTCGAATCTACTCCCGATGTGTCTTTTACTGCTCGGTACTTGGCCGTCCTTGGAGTCAACTGGGGTCTTTGTTGCCCGTGTTTGTCTCTGGGTAGGGGTAGTTTTCGTCACTGGTAGGGGCGCTAGTTTTCACCTCTTACAGTAGCCAGCTCTGTTCCACCTGGGGTACGTTGTCCTTTTGTGGGGTTTTGCTTTTGTTTTTGTTTTTCTGTCTGGTGAAGGGTCTTGGTGGTTGCCTTGGTGGTTGTCCCTTCTGTGTTAGGGTGTATTTATCTACAATTATATCTATTCTCAGTTTAGTGTGGTTGGTGGTACCCCTTGCTAGGCCCCAGTGAGTGGACACATCCCAGGGGTTCAACTATTAGCAGATTGTTTGGTAGTCTTGTGCGCCAGTTTGCAGTATTCTGCCTGGGCTTCCCTTAGCGTGTTAATAAGGCTAAGACCCCTGGGAAACCCCGCAGGGGCTCCGTGGTCCGATAGATGTGACCCTTGAGTCCTCTCTTGACCTGGCATTCGAGCCTGGTCCTCCTGCCGGAGTTTCTGGGTCTGACCAGTGGGCCTCCTTCACTCCTGCTTTTTCAGCTGCTCCTGCCTTTTCTTTAGAGGTGGAAAGGGGGAGGGGTGGACAATGGCTGAGCCCCGGATCTTCGGGGTGAGGTTCCTGGGGTGGGGAAGGGGTTGACTTGGGGGCCTTGGGCTTTGTTGGACCCCACTTGGATTTCTGTACCCTCGGAGCAGGTCTTGATGTTACAGAGTGTGGGATTCTCTTTTGCTCCCTCCTTGTATAAGTTAGATTTGGCGTCTACCCCTCCCCGGGTTCGGTTCAGTGAACACCGACGGTTCTTTGGTTCTGTCTTTCCAGAGGTTTCCGGCTTCCCGAGCCCAGTCACAGTGGGTGCGGGAAACCTTGCGGCTGACCTGCACAACCAAGCTTTTGCTTTCATGATGGATTCGCGTTCCTTTGTTGTATGGATCTTTGTGTCCTTACTGGGTTCGTTACGAAGTTAAAGAGTCATCCTGGTTAGCAGACTGCCCTTTCTTCTCTTTGGAAGCATGGCATACGTTCTGTTGGTTCCGCACTCTTGAGTGGCGGAAGGCTCTGACGGCACTGCAGGTTTTCCTGGGGGGCGCATTTGAGCATCTCGAGGAGTGCTTGTTTGCCTCTGCCCTTTTGTGGGATGTTGGTATGATGCAGCTTCATGTGCAGGTTCCTTCCCTTTCGGCTGCATTGGTTGAGGAGAACTTGTGTACACGGGGCCTGCTGGATTCGGCCCTGCAGTTCTCCCTCCTTGAGTTGTGCGCTGTTGAAACTGTTCGCGCCGCTCCTGCAGGATGCGGTTTTGCGGTATTTTGCTTCTCAGCTCGCGTGTCAGCTGGCGGTGCTTGCTTCTTCCTTGGAATCTGCTTGGACCCTGGCTCTTCAATTGTCTTCACCTTTTTGTCTGTTGCTGTTTGCAGAGTCTGCGGTGATGCAGTATTTGCAGGCAACTTCGGCTGTTTGCCATCCTATGACGGAATTGTTGATTCTCCGTGGGGTTTGTGGGGGGCCGTCCTGATGAGGTCGTGCCAGGGCTCAGGGTTCTTTTTCTCGTGGTAGGCCAGTGGTGTCAGGTTCGGCGCCAGTGCAGCGTACGGTGCCATCTGTTTCTGTTTGGTGCGGGGATCTCCCTTTGCGCCATTTGTGTGCAACAGTAAAATCAGTATACTGATCACAAATCTCTCTCTATTGAAAAAATTTGAAGGCACATCATACGATCTACTGAAACAGGCAAAGCCACAGAAAGACCCTCGGGTTCAGACACTGAGCAAGCAGCGCCTGAAACCAAGGCTGGGCTGGCCACCAAGGACCCAGAAGGACAACTCTTCCCTGGTAAGTCTCCAAGTGAGCCAGGACCTGGAGCAACAGCTGAACTGGGAGAAACAGGTATGGGTAACCCCACCTTGCCCAGTCCTGTTCCTGCCTGAAGGTGTCAACTCCGACGGCCTCACAGTCGGGGGAAGGGTGCTACATATACTGTACTGGGAGACGTCTTGACCACGTCGATGTGAAGAGATACACTTCTGAAGGCTCAAACATCCAGCAGAGCCAACTGAATGAGTTGGCATCAAAAATCCATTCCGTGGAAAGGGGAATGAACCAGAATAGGCCATCTGCCAGGACACTGGACACCCCCCCGAATGTGAACTGCCAGGAGCGCCAAACCCCAAGAACTTAGCAGATGAGTCACCTGAAGTGATCAGCCCCAAAGAGCCAAAGACTGCAGTGAACCCCTGTGGTTAAGGAACTGAACCATTGAGGGAACAGTCTGAATGGAGCCGGATCGTCGATCTGCAAGCGACCCGAATCCTCCAGAGCGACATCCACACAGTCGCAAACTCCAGCACTATGCTGTGAGCCCGATGGAAGGATGGACCCTACCGACCATGGCCGGCCTGGTGCGCACTAATCACAAAGCCCTTGCGGGGTTTCCCCAGGCCGTTAGCCTTGATAACATGCTGAGGGAAGCCCAGGTAGGGTACTGCGAACTGGCGCCCAAGACTACCAAGCAAACTTCTAAAAGCTGAACCCGGAGACGTGTCTACTCACAGGGGCCTAGCAGGGGGTACCACCAAGAACACAGCTATGTATATATAAAGACCCCCAATTATAGATAAGGGACAACCAACCAAAGGCAAACTCCCCCCACCAGGCAGGAAAACAAAAACAAAAGAAAAAACCCGCAAGAGGACAACGTACCCAGATGGAACAGAGCCGGCCGCTATAAGAGGGGATAACTAGCTGTGCAGTACTCTGCGCCCCTACCAATGATGAAAACTACTTCCTACTGAGAGGCAAACAAGGGCAACAAAAACCCAGCTGATTCCAAGGATGGCCAAGTATCGAGCACTAAAAGACACAGTGGAGGTAGCTCCCAAGGCGACTTGTGGAAGGTGGCCCCAAGCCCCAAGATCAGTACTTACCGGGCACCTAGGGAAGAAAACCCTAGGCGCATGCAGCTCGAGTACCGTAGAATACTACTCCTGGCTCACACACCACCTGTAGAGACAGACCACTTCACAAGGCACAGAAACTGAGACCAAAGCAGGAGCCAGAGGCACAAGACCTCGCCAGTAGCACATCAGCCAAGAATTGATAGTTGGATCGCTGGTGTGAGGGGTCTGGAGCTTCCCCCTTCCCTGTCCCGGGGAGGGGAAGTTGCACAGACAGTGGTGTGGCAACGTGATGGCATCATGCTCGTTTGCTAATTTTCGTTTGGGGAGTTCTGTCTACTCATTCTGCTTTCAGTAGCAATATTTTCACCAGAATAGGGGTTTGTTTTGGGGCGCCTACCTTTCTTGGTGCCAGACCTGGTCAATGGCAGACAAAGAATGCTCCAACCACACGGGTTTCTATAGGCCATTGTTCCTTGTGCCTTGTCTGAGGGAGCTGTGTTCTGGCTCCCTCAGATGAGGGAGATTGTACCAGTCTTGGCTCTCAGGAAAAAGAGAGCCAGACGTCAGTGGTAGGGGGTCAACCATTGTTGAAAAAGACCGAGTCGTTGGAGCAAATTCCGCTCCTATAATTCTCTTGGACAAAGTGTTATGGAGGTCAAATTAGTGCTTCTACCATCATCAACACGCTGTCAACAACCACAAGGGAAGTGTCTTTCCAAAATCTTATCTAAGTCATTATTGGCCAGTAATGTTAGATAGATATGATTAATTCCGGTTAGGACTCGAATGAACGACTCAACACTGGTAATTAAGCCTTGATCCTTATCTAATAATATAAATGTTTCATCTGATATAACTGTCATATATTAGAATTCCGGCTTACAGCTAGTGCCCTTTAACAGGAACAAGAAGAGGAAACAAGAATTAACCTTGGTACATCAGTTACTTGGGTGGTGGATTAGGCCTACCATACAATAAGATAAGGCACCTCCAAAATTTATTTACTAATGTATGTACTCTAGTTTAATACTGTAGTTTGATTGACTGCATATATATAAATTTAATATAAACCCCCCCTAATGTGTAAGGATCAATTTGTGAGAATATTTCAGAAATACAGTCCACTAAACATCATACAAATTGCTATCGAAATATATAAATTAACAAATATAAATCTATATAAATTCATATAAACTGAATAAATATAAATCTCACAGGTCGGTTCCCACACCACCGGACGCCATGCGAAACGACCTGAAATGCCCACAAATCGTGGGACCAGGCATTAGTGATCAGTGCAAGCCTCTCCCCAATTGCCCCGTCAGTGGGGCGAACCGCAAAAGGGCCGGCGCCCCTTACAAGACCCAGAACCTTGCCCAGAGTGAACACTGCACCGACCAGACGAGGGCGAGTCCAAAGGAAGAGCTGAACCCGAACCTGACACCAGTGGCCTACTACGACGAGAGGAACCCCGAGCCTTGGCACGACCCTTCCGGGAAGGTCCACCACGGGACCCCCGGAGCACCAGCAAGTCCGACATAGGACTGCAAGAAGCCAAAGCAGCCTGAATACACTGTGCAACGGTGGAAGCCTCAAACAAAAGAGGGCAAAAGAGGGAAGACATCGTAAGAGCCAAGGCCCAAGCAGATTAAACAGAGGAGGCAAGCACCGTCTGCTGACATGTGAGCCGGGAGGCATAAAACAGAGCCACCGCATCCCACAAGATCGGAGCGAAAAGCTTCAGCAAGGCAGCCGACGAGCGAGCCGCCGAGGCCAAGGCGCCAGACCCAGGAACAGCCCCAAGCACCCCCACATCCTCAGTGAGCCAGTCGGAAACAGCTCCAGGAGGGAAAAGAAGCGCAAGGCTGCAACCAAAAGGCCCCGAGCACGCAAGTCCTCTACCACCTGTACCACCGAAAGGGAGGGAACCTGCACATGGAGCTGAACGACACCAACATCCCAGGGAAGGGCAGGAGCAAACAAGCACTCATTGAAGTGCTCATGGTTGCCCCCCAGGAAAACCTGAAGCACCGTCGAAGCCTCCCGCCACTCAAGCGTGCAGGAACAGCAGAAGGAGTGCCAAGCCTCCAAGGTAAAGACAGGACAGTCCGCCAGCCAGGACGACTCCGGAACCTCGTAACAGAGCCAGAAAGGGAACAAAGTTCCAAACCTGAAAGCCAAGGGATCCATTGCCGAGACATAATTCAGGTCACGCAGGAAGTTTGCGGCAAGGGCCGCCCACACCACAGCAGGTTGGATGCGATAAGCTGAAAACCTCCGAAAAGATGGAACCGAAGCACCTGGGGAAACACGGAACTGAACCAGGGGAAGGGGCAGACACCAAGTCCAATTCGTATGCAGAGGGGGGAAAAGAAAACCCCAATCCTTGTAACAGTAAGCCTCGCTCTGAGGGTAGAAAACCCAGGCAGGGTCCAGTGGGACCCTGCCCCTCCCCAGCCCCAGGGTCCTCCTTCGCAGGACCCGGGGCTGAGTCCTTTCCCCAAGCACCGACCCCACTAGACAAGGCCGGCGCAGTCGTAGAAGCCGGATATAATGAGGCCCAATGGTCAGACCCAGAGGCTTCGGCCAGGGTAGGAGACTCGAATGCCTCCGTCGCCACACCGGAAGGGGCATCCCGCGAGGCTGCCCGAGTCTCAAGACCAACTAACTCCTGCCCCGACTCCGAAACCCTCAGATGTTTCGGGGCTGGAAGCAGGGGAGGGGGACCAGAACGAACAACAGGAGGGGAAGGACCAGGAGGTGCGGACTGAACCAGGGTCGAAGCGACCCCCACCCCTAAGTCCAGGTCCCTATAAGCAAAACGGGGCATCCGGGTGAGCAACCAACCGAGCGTGTTGCAACAACCAAAACCTAGAATGCAACGCCTGCGCAGCCTGTACCCGAAGATGATCATCCACAGATTGGGTAAATTGAGGCACCAGCAAGCAACAATACTCACAGGACTCGGGGTCGAAAGTCTCACTGACTCAACAGGCTGCGTGATGGAGGCAAAAACAGTGAGAGTTGCCCATGAGACAAGGGGACCGAACAACCCTCAAACTCGCATGAAGCGAGGGGGGACCCCAGGGTCACATCCATCAAACCCACGTGTCCTCTAGAGGATTCCCAGGGTCCTGAGTGTTTACTTGAAGAGGACTCACACTCAGGTAAACCCAGGCAGGGTACTGCTAACTGGCGCCCAAAACTACCAAACTGTCTAAAGTTGAACCCCAGGGATGTGTACACTCACGGAAACCAAGCAGGGGGCACCACAAAGTATCAGGGTGAGGCCAAACATCAGTGGCAAATAGGGCAGAACCCCCACCATGGCAAAAAGAAAACCCCACAAGAGGACAACGTACCCCAAGGAACAGAGTCGGCCACCATGATAGGTGACAACTACCTGTGCAGCACCCTGCGCCCCTTACCAGTGTGAAAACTGCCTCTTACCCTAAGGTAAACTAGGGAGACAAAACGCCCAATTACCCAAAGGGCGGCCTAGAAACTGAGCAGTAAAATGGACACACAGAGGCAGACCCCGAGGAACTTGTGGAAGGTAACCCCAAGCTCCAAGGGCAGTATTTACAAGGCACCTAGGAAAGGGAACCCTAGGCGCATGCAGCCTGAGTACTGAGGAATAACTCCTGGCACTTGCACCCCTGGAGAACAGGAGCCACACACAAAGCACAGCGCTGCAAAAATACTAGATCCAGAGCACGCAACCAAGCCGATAGCATCAGCATCAAGAACTGGGGTGTGGATCGCTGGTGCAGTAGGTCTGGGGCTACCCCTTTCCCCTCCCTGGGAGGGGGGCTGCTCAGACAGCGGCGCGACGACGGGTGACGTCATACTTGTTTGCTCGTTTTTGTTTGGAGAGTTCTATCTACTCGTTTGGCTTTTGGTTGCAATTTTCACCAGAATAGGGGTTTGTTTTGGGACGCCTACCTTTCTGGGTGCCTAACCCGGTTGATGGCAGACATAGAATGTTTCCAATTACACGGGGGTTTCTAAAGGCCATTGCTCCTCTTGGCTCTAGAGGTGGCCAGGTTCTGGCTCGTGGTCCCCGGTAGGCGCATAAGAACTCTATGCACATGATTGATGCCAAAGTCTGACATTAGCATATCAGCCTAGTAAGCTCCGGGGGAGCCGTAGGGGCTTCCCACAGAAAGAGTTGCATTTTTTACAGTGGCTAATTGAGAGAACAAGTTTATTTATTGCCACTGTATGAAAGTCAACATGAAACATTAATATTTGTGCAGTACACTGCGCCCTACCAATGATGAAAAGTACCTCCTACTCAAAAGGCAAACAGAGGCAAACATGCATGGAGGGGAAATCTTGTTACTGAACTGTTTGCAAATGAGCACCTTGCTCAAATTTAAACAAGTGCAAGTAATGTAAAATGTATTTATTGCCAACTACAGTAACATTATTTACAAGAGTAGTTTGGAACCCAATATTTCCAGATTTTTTCATAATTTCTTTAAATCCCTATCTGAGCAATATACTGTACATTAAGCAACAAATATATTATTTTAATCATTACAATAATTACAAAAGTATGATTTCCATATACTCACCTTCTATAATAATGGTCTTTGAATCAACAATTATGACACCTCCTGATTTAACCTCGCCTGTCTTGGACGAGAGTTTGTTGAGAATAATTTTTTGGGGAGGCTCAAATCCCTCTGGAATATAGATGTCGCCAAATGGTTCCTGTTGTGGGAACAAATAGTATTTTATCTTGGTCACTGTTAAATACTATACTTCTTAGCCAGTACACTCACTGATGTCAACCAATATGTTAACATTAAATATAGAAAAAACGTACTGCAGTACATTTTATTTGCATTTAACCATATAGATCCTAAAATAAATAATACAAAGGCCAATAGTAAAAATGGGGAAGATTACGAGTCTTATGTAAATGAAAATCAACTTGAAAACCAATTTAAACCATTACATTGAGTGTATAATGTAAAGAGACTTCTAAAAAGAAATAGTATAGTATATAGTACAATAGTGCTATAATAGTAATAGTAGTACTATAGTAGTAATAGTACAGGGCATAGTATCAAAAATCAAATACTGTACTGTATAGGAAAATCTGTCAATGGACAAGAATATCACAGAGCAGCAAGTTTTGAAATTTTAGATTCTATCTAGATTCTTTAATTCCAAATACCTGTAGTTATAATGCTTATGAGACAACTCTACACTGGTACTGGTTGCATATGTTCACATATGACAATGATAGAGTGATGGTACAGTGATGTATTTCTAAGTAAAGCAGAATAAAAATAGGCTCACTGATATTTAATTTTTTTAAGTACTGCAGGAAAGATGTATACTAACAATTTAAATAAAGCTTAACCAGGCAGGGGCTAGAGGAAATATCTTCATGCTCAAAAAACCAACGTTGAATGTAATGAAACGCCATTTTCTGGGTGAGACCCGGAGGCTCCCCGGAGCTTTACCAGGCTGATATGCTAATGGGGTTCAGTCCCTGAGCCCATTATGTGCCTCTGTAACCCTTTCCACTACCGCCCACAAGATGGGTATGGGGTGCATAATAAATGAACTAAACTAACTAATATCAGACTCTGGCATCAGTCATGTGTATGGAGTTCTAGGGCTTACCGGGGATCACAGCCAGAACCTGGCCCCCTCAGAGAGGCAAGGGAAGCAATGGCCTATAGACACCCCCGTGTGGTTGAAAGCATTCTATGTCTGCCATCGACCGGGTCAAACATCCAGAAAGGTAAGCATTCCAAAACAAACCCCTATTCTGGTTAAAATTGCTACCAAAAGCCGAACTAGTGGATAGAACTCCCCAACAGAAAACAAGCAAACTACTATGACGTCACACGTCACCGCGCCGCTGTCTGCACAGCTCCCACCTCCCCGGGAGGGGAAAAAGGGAGCCCCAGACATCTCACGCTGGCTATCCACCCATCAGTTCTGAGGCTGGATGTCAAAACTCGCGTAAAACCTCCGACCGGAGGGAGGGAGGGTTGCCGGGGAGCCTCCGGGTCTCACCCAGAAAATGGCGTTTCATTACATCCAACGCTGGTTTTCTGGGGGACGCCTCGTCGGCTCCCCGGAGCTAACTACCTACAGAGGAAGGTCAAAGGGACGGAACCGGGAGGCAGACACCACGCACCCCTCGACAGAAGCGAGACAACCGGCAGCAAATGCCAACCCAAGGCGACACAGCCCCGAAAGAGCCCGGGAACAATACGAGACAATGAGCAGCAAGGCCCCTGTACGAACACCAAAAGATCTGTGCCCGAATGACAGCAAGAACACGCCGCCCAGACGGCAGCATAAGCAGTGAAGCCACGAACGTCATGGGCATGGGTTAAGAACACAGGCAGGCTAGCCGCAATAACACGGCGGACAACCCGAGACACCGTCACCCGCGAACAGGGAAGAACGGAACCGGATCAACTCAAAGCGCGCCCCGGACATAGAGGGCGCGGCATGCAAATAACAGCAGAGGACCGCCACTGAACCCAAAACACAACACACCTGCGGCCCGACCAACCAAGCACCAACAAACCAAGAACCCCTCCAGAACGCAGCAGCCCCATCCCGTGCCAGAAAAGATGGAGATGGCTGCCACCGAACAACCAAAACACCAAGACCGAAGGAGCAGAAAATCCCCCGCGGAGGAGAGCAAGAAACCCAACCCGACCCCCAGAGGCAAATGCCAACAGGAAAAAAGAGCAGATGAAAAACAAACCGGAACCGAAGGGGCACCACCAACCGAGGAGAAGACAGAGCACGCTGGCCAGAGACCAGGACGGTGCAAGCGGCGCATGAACAGGCTGGAGGTGAGACAATGCATGAGACAGCTTACTAATGGCGCAGAAGCAACGCCAAGACCGAAAGCAAGCCGAAGCGGCTCTGCCAGCGCCGCACAAAACGAGGCGACAGTATGCGGCAAGAAGACGGCCCCCATCCCCCACCAGAAAACCAAGCCGACGCTAACAACCGCAGCCACCTAAGAAGAGACAGGAGGAAAAGGAAGGACCGCCAAAATACCCCATACTGCCGCCAAGAAGAAGCACGCAGGTGGGACACCAACAATGAAGCCACCAGACCACCAGGCGAGACACGCGAGGCAGAATGTAATCAGCCCCGACAAGGTTCACCCGAGCCCAGGAAAAGGCGGAGCCACGGGAAGATCTCAAGCGCGACCACCAAAGCCCAAGGCGGCAAAAAGGAGATGGAACTTCTGCTGAACAGAAAGCTCCCCAATGCGAGCAAGCCCGCCAGGAGATCAGAAACGACGGGTCCGAAGCGAGACATCGCAAGACCCTGACAACCAACAGGCAGGGCAAGCCAGGAAAACCGAAGGAGGTGTAAGAGTTGCCACCAGAACAGTACCCGAACCAAGGGGGTACGAGCAACGAAAACAGACCAAGACACATAAGCGCACTATATGACACAGACTGAAGGAATGCTCAAGAAGCCAAGGAACACACAAAGAAAACCCCTTCAGCAGAGGAGGAAACAAAGGGAACGCACAAGGAAGGGAAGCAGCAGAAACCGAACCCCTCCCCATACAGCAGCAAGTGCAGGCAAAACCGAGCAAAGGAAATGCCAGGGAAGCGACAGGGGAGAGGCAGGACGAAAAAACCAAAGCTCAAACCCCAGGAAACACAACCAGGGGTGGACAATCAGGCGTGGACAGAACCCACGCACACAGAAGGGCCAAGACAGGGACCTGAAGACCACAAAAAATAACTCAAGTAAACCCCCATATGCAAACCCCAGGCACAAAACAGCAGCAAAGTGCCACACCACAACCTGAGACAGGAACAAGGACATGCCACCACGAAACACGTTACCAATGCACACGTGCAGCAGCAACATGCACCACACGCAACATGTATGTAGCAACTTGTCTCTGCAAAGGCAGAGAACGGTGCAGGCAGACTCCAGGCCGACCCCAGACAGGGCCAACGGAGACACGACAGAACCCAGCAGGCCCAGGAACCCGCACACCAGGCGACCGATGGCGGAGAAACCTGCCCAATATCTGCTTGATGGGGTTCTGGGAGTTCATTTACTCCCCAAGCCCGGCCCAAGGCTAGGCTTGACTTGTGAAAGGTTGGTCCACCAGGCTGGTGCTTGGAGCGGCCCGCAGGCCCACATACCCACCACAGCCAGGATGGGCCGGAACCTCTATTAGAAAACAGGCTAGTGTTCTCTTGAAGTCCACAAATGTACCGGCAATATGGCGTATGCTCGCAGGTAGGACGTTTCACAACCACAGACCCCTGATGTTTATACAGTGTTCCCCAATTGTGTCTATGGCACCACTGCACTCCACTGGTACTATCCCGCATGTTCTTCCATATAGGCGGGACCAAAGAGCCAGAGCTCAAACCCCCCAAGCACAACCAGGTGAGCCCTACCAGGTGAGTACATAACCAGCACCACAACCCACACACCTCATAACACGAAGAGGTGGGTCTCTTGAATGACTCTGACACTAGCATGGGTTGAACATGCCTATGAGTGGGACTGGAAGGGTTGAAAAGGGAGTCACTGGTGTGCCAACGGTCTCATTTGTACAGAAATATACCTAAATAAAGACAGGTATATAAACATCTCCGCATCCAGCGCCCGGCCAAAAGACGCCAGACCACAGAAACTCACCTGTCGAACGGAGGAACAAACGTGACACGATCCAACAGTGCCAAGAAAATTCTGGGAGCACCGCCAGGTGAAGAAGCCAGAGCTGGACATGCAGGAGAGCAGGGTAGAGGCGAAGGAGGAGGCCCAATGGGAACCCAACCGGGCCACAAGTAGCCCAACTAGGCTACAAGTAGCCCAATACGGCGATCCGGACTAGGAGCAGACTGACGTTCCAACAATATGGGAAGTAGCGAAAACCTTCCCAAACCCTCGAGAACTCAGAAGCAAACACCAGTCCTGAAGGCACACAAAGGCACAGTCGCACCCGAGACCAAAAGTCATGTAGAACCCCAAGAACAGGGAAACATGAAGATACCCTATCCCAAAAAAGGGGGGAGCAACGGACAATAGCACCCACCTACAGGACGGAACCAACCAACTCAAAGGACAAGGAACTGAGCCCGGGGAGGTAGGAGGAAAAACCCACTCCGCGTAACCGCAAGCCCCGTCTAAAGGGGAGAACCCCCCCCCCGGTGGGTCCTATGGGGCCTAGGCCCCCCAAGTCAGCCCCTCCCCAGCCCCAGGAACCCACACGACAGGCCCCGGGGCCGAGCCGTCCCCCCAAAGCCCGAGCTGTACCAGAAAACTAGGGCAGCCGCGAGTTAAAAGCTCACGTTCTCTAAGGAAGGGAGCCCACTAGCAGACTCTTACAACACGGCTGGAGGAACAGGCTCGAATGCCCCCGTCACTACCCCGGAAGGGGAATTCCCCGAGACCGCCCGAGTCTCAAAACCATCGAACCCCACCCTGAGGGGGGGGGGGGGGGACATGTTTAGGACATGTATGAGGACATGTTTAGCACTCCAATAAACAACATGAAGGTGGAAGATCCAGACAATTTCTTTATGCGGGATATTCAAACCCCTGTAAATATAACTGATATAAACACGAGCGCACTAAATTTTGAAAAAGAAATAGAAAACATGCCCATACACTCGGCCCCAGGTCCAGACTCATGGAATTCAATATTTATAAAGAAATGCAAAGTGCCGGTAGCACAGGCACTCAGTATAGTGTGGAGGAAGAGCCTGGACACGGGGGAGATACCAGATGCACTTAAAGTAGCAGACATAGCCCCTCTACACAAGGGAGGGAGCAAAGCATTGGCAAAAAATTATAGACCAGTTGCACTAACATCGCACATCATAAAAGTATTTGAGAGAGTGATTAGGAGTCAGGTCACCAATTTCATGGAGACCAATGACCTTCACAACCCAGGCCAACATGGATTTCGAGCGGGAAGATCGTGCCTCTCACAGCTACTTGAGCACTACGACAAAGTCACTGAGGCATTAGAAGAGAAACAGAATGCTGATGTGATATACACGGACTTCGCAAAGGCTTTCGATAAATGTGACCATGGCGTGATAGCACACAAAATGAAGTCAATGGGAATAACCGGTAAAGTAGGACGCTGGATACTCAGTTTTCTGTCAAACAGGACTCAGCGAGTAACTGTCAACCATATAAAATCTAGTCCAAGTGCAGTGAAAAGCTCTGTACCTCAGGGTACAGTCTTTGCACCGCTGCTTTTCCTTATTCTCATATCAGATATAGACAAAAATACAAGTCACAGCTTCGTATCATCCTTTGCAGATGACACAAAAATCAGTATGAAAATTACCTCGGCTGAGGACATTGAAAATCTTCAAGCTGATATTAATAAAGTTTTTGACTGGGCATCAGAAAATAACATGATGTTTAACAGTGATAAATTCCAGGGTACTCAGGTATGGTAAAAATGAGGACCTTAAACATAATACAGAGTACAAAACACAATCAAATGTACCCATAGTAGGAAAACAGCATGTAAAGGATTTGGGAATAATAATGTCTGACGACCTAACGTTTAAGGAGCATAACCAAGCAAATATTGCGACAGCCAGAAAAATGATAGGATGGATTACGAGAACTTTCAAATCCAGGGATCCCATCACAATGGTTGTACTCTTCAAGTCACTTGTGTTGTCCCGTCTTGAGTACTGCTCAGTACTCACTTCCCCCTTCAGAGCAGGAGAGATTGCTGAAATAGAGGGAATACAGAGAACATATACGGCACGCATAGATGCAATAAAGCACCTAAATTATTGGGATCGTCTCAAAGCCCTCCAAATGTACTCACTAGAAAGAAGACGAGAGAGATATCAAATAATATACACCTGGAAGATACTGGAGGGCCAAGTACCAAATCTACACAGTAAAATAACAACGTACTGGAGTGAACGACATGGAAGAAAATGTAGAATAGAACCAATGAAGAGCAGAGGTGCCATAGGCACAATCAGAGAATCCTGTATAAACATCAGAGGTCCGCGGTTGTTCAACGTCCTCCCAGCAAGCATAAGAAATATTGCCGGAACAACCGTGGACATTTTCAAGAGGAAACTAGATTTATTCCTCCAAGGAGTGCCGGACCAACCGGGCTGTGGTGGGTATGTGGGCCTGCGGGCCGCTCCAAGCAACAGCCTGGTGGACCAAACTCTCACAAGTCGAGCCTGGCCTCGGGCCGGGCTTGGGGAGTAGAAGAACTCCCAGAACCCCATCAACCAGGTATCAACCCTGAACCTGCAAACGGTAAGGAAACGAATAGAGGCAGGAAAGGGGGGATCCAGGAGTGACAAGGGGGCGTAGAAGGAACCGAAGCAACCAACACCCCCATGTCCCAAAACTAACCAAAAAGGGGCAGTCCCAGGGAGCAAACAAACGAAAGCGTTGCCACCACCAAGGCTCAACGTGCAATGCCTCTGCTGCCTGCACCTGTTTAGTCAGCACACAACTGGGTAACCGAGACACTATGAGCAACAAAACTCGCAGGACTCCGAGTCGAAGTTGTCAACGACCCGACAGGCAGCAGACGGAGGCAAATACAGTGAGAGTCACCCTGAGACAAAGGGGCAGAACAACCCTCGAACTCGCACAAAGCGAGGGGGGACTCCGGGGTCACATCTATCGAACCCACGCATCCCCGTGAGGATTCCCAGGGTCCTGAGATGGAATCATGCTCAGGGAAGCCCAGGCAGGGTACTGCTAACCGGCGCCCAAGTCTACCAAATAATCTTCTAAGAACTGAATCCCAAGGATGCGTACACTCAAGGGGACCTAACAGGGGGAAACCACTAGAAGAAGGAAGAGTACTCAGTACACAAAGGGAAAGAACCAAGGCAGACCCCCCACCAGGCAGACAAACAAAAGAAAAGGAAAACCCCTCAAGAATACAGCGTACCCAAGCGAAACAGAGCCGGTTGCTATGATTGGTGAAAACAAGCTGTGCAGTATCCCGTGCCCCTTCCAGCATAAAACTGCCCCTCACCCTAAGGCAAACAAGGGAGACAGAACACTCTAGCACACAAAGGGCAGCCGAAAACCAAGCAGTAAACTGCCTAGCAGAGGCAAAACCCAAGGAACTTGAGAAAGATAACCCCAAGCCCCAAGGGCAGTGCTTACAGGGCACCTAGGGAAGGAAACCGTAGGTGCATGCAGCCCGAGTACTGGGGAATTACTCCTGGCTCATGCACAGCCTAGAAGACAGCCACCACACTCTAGGTACAGTGCTGAAACAACCACTGGAGCCGGAGCACATGACCGTTACCCATAGCATCAGTCTCAGAACTGAAGGGTGGATAACCAGGCAGGGGTCTGGGGCTTCCCCTTCCCCATCCCAGGGAGAGTGGAGCTGCGCAGACAGCGGATCAGCGACTTGTGACTTCATGCTCGTTTCTTTTTGGGGAATTCTATCCACTTGTTCGGTTTTTGGTGACTAGTGACCTCATGCTTATTTGCTTGTTTCTTTTTGGGGAATTCTATCCACTTTTTCGGCTTTTGGTAGCAATTTTCACCAGAATAGGGATTTGTTTTGAGACGCTTGCCTTTCTGGGTGCCTGTCCCGGTCGATTGCAGGCATAGAATGCTTCCAACCACACGGGGGGGGGGGGGGGGGGGTTCAATAGGCCATTGCTCCTCCATGCCTCTCTGAGGGGGCCAGGTTCTGGCTCGTGGTCTTCGGTAGGCCCATACACATGACTGATGCCAAAGTCTGACATTAGCATATCAGCTTGGATAAGCTCTGGGGAGCCAAAGTGGCTTCCCCCAGAAATCAGCAATGAATGTAATGATATGCAATTTTTTGGATGAGCCCCGGAGGCTCCCAGAAACTATCAAGCTGACGTGTGCCATATTTGTTCAGTGTGTCTCGGAGGACACACACTGGCTCTCACTGACACAATCAACACATTGGTGTCGACTTCACTTTGCCTCAGATCTACAAGATTTTGTTGAAGTTCTTGGTGTACTATTGCTCTTTGGCTCACTCATCAGCTCTATCATGTATTCGGAGGCCAACATGAGATGGAGACCACATGAAATGGACTGTTATCATCATTAATAATTTGGTTGTATTTGTGTCTAGCTTCAGACACGAGCATGTTACAGTTATGTCTTAAAGACTTGAGAGCAATTAAGGATGATAAAAAGTGACTTACAATTATTGTATCAAGTTTGTAGACTTGTACACATTTCAGTGCAAGGAGCAAGGCAAATAGTTCGGTCAGAAGGGTAGAGGCCCAGTTGTTTATACGGACTCCCCACTCAAAATATAAGCCATCGCCCATTGTCAGGACAACTGCACTTCCAGCTGCACCCGTGGGGCGGTGTAGGGAACCATCAGTGTACAGTATATGATTTGTTGGATGATGATTGCTTGTTTCCTTATTTTCTTTTTTGGGGAGTTCTTTTGTTCTGTTTGCATGTAGGTTGCAATTTTAACTAGTTAGAAGTTGGTATCAACCTGTTCTCTTACAAATTACGTCTGAATTTAGTTGTTTTCCCGTACGGCCGAAAATGGACGTACATAACTTGAAAATGAAAAATAATTTAAAATAAATTTTGGATTTTTTTTTTTCTAAAACAGCAAGTTAAGGATCCTCTTGTAGATTAGGAGGGCAGGAAGTTCTCTTAAGGTTTCAAAACGTCATGATTAACGAACAAATTCACAAGGGCCGTGACGAGGATTCGAGCCTGCGTCCGGGAGCATCCCAGACGCTGCCTTAATCGACTGAGCTACGACAGGGTTAAAAGAGTTGACTCTTTTAACCCTGTCGTAGCTCAGTCCATTAAGGCAGTGTCTGGGATGCTCCAGGACGCAGGTTCGAATCCTCGTCACGGCCCTTGTGGATTTGTTCATTTGATGCATCACGTTAGTGTGATCTCTGTGTGTAGTGATCGTTAACGGTTTCAATAAACCATTAATTGAACGTTTCATCCCCTAAACTAATCGAGTATAAGCCGGAAGGCTCAAACAGAAAATGGGACAGTACAGTACAGGACATCAATTTTGTGAGCTGATTTAATTTCAAATTACGTCATTTTTGGCCATAGCGTGCATACGCGTGAAAAGCGACATTATTTTATGAGGACGGGTTGGGTATTGGTCGCCTACCTTTCTGGGTGCCTTCCCCGGTCGATGGAAGACATGACAAAAATCTAAATATACAGTGCTCATATGACCATTACTCCCTGCACCTCTCTGAGGGGGTCACAGGTTCTGGCTCGTAGTCCCTGGTAAGTAAAGAACTCCAAGGACTGATGGCATCAAACCAGTATGGCACATGTCAGTTTGATAGCTTAAGGGGGCCGACGGGGCTCCCCACAGAAAGCATGAATTACTAAAGTACTGTATGAGCGTGGCAGAGGAATTTAAAGTTGACACTACTGTACTGTAGTACCGTTTCTGACAAAACTAATGCAGAAGATTTTCTAGGTTATTGCCAGGGAAGAAAAAGTTCTGGTGGAAAAGATTCTGAGAGCAAAACACTGCATTTAATTTTCCATGTTGTTAATAATAACATATGTCATTACTCATTCTGCTTACCAATCTGCTGAGGTCGTATATTGCAAGCCACTTAATCTCTGGGATGGTCTTCTTATCAGGGAGCGTGAGTGTGATATCTTTATTAAGGTAACGGTCCAAGATATTGGTCCTGAGAAGGAAGAGTTGTGTAAGTATGAGTTCAGAATTTAAACAATTAGCAAATTCATATTCTAGGCAAACATAAAAACTAATTTCTCCTTACATTTTTTTTGTTGCATAATAGTTTTAATAAAGCTGCCCTTTGTGGCAAGTGTATACTATGACACGACCCTATGAAATCATAATAAAAGGGGATATATTGCAGTAATTTTGAACATGAGCAGTATTGTATATTACATGTGTCAACTATATTACATGTGTCAACATGTATATTACATGTGTCTTGTGTCAACTACATTTACAAAACCCTGTTCTTAAATGCAAATCCTTGTCTGAAACTCTTCTTGGACAGATGTAATAGGACCCATTATCACCACATCAGAAATAAATATCTCTTTGATACCCCCAGAGTTAAACTTAATCTGTGTAAACACTCTATGCAAATAAAGGGACCCAGTTTATGGAACTCACTCCCTACTGAATTGAAAAGCTGTCCAACTTTTACATCATTCAAAATCAATACTAAAAAGTACCTAATTTCATCTTCATAGTTTTTCACTTTTTGCCTTAAAATTGCACTGTATCAATTGCTACCCAATCTCCCAACCTTTATGTTCCCAATTTGAACATCTTTACCATTGTGATCATTGCTGTTTTCCTATATGTGCTGCCAATCTGTTGTATGGTGTTTATAAATCTTGTTTATCTGTATCTTTTGCTACCCAGTCTCCCAATCTTTATATACCCAATCTGAACATCTTTACCATTGTGATCATTGCTGTCTTATATGTGCTGCCAATCTGCTGAATGGTGTCTATTAACCTTTAACCTTGTTTAAATTACTAATCAAGCTGTCAATGTAATCAATCAGAGCTTTAATATAACAATGTGCTTTAATATACCTACTTATCTCTCTCATCTCATTTTTCTCTTGTAATGTATCTTTATCATTTATCAATTCTGATTGAAATTACCTACTTAAAATTATCTGCTAGATTAAGGACCTGCCCGAAACGCTGTGCGTACTAGTGGCTTTACAAGAATGTAAATACTGTACTATCCAATGTATTCTCACAAACCCAATGTACCTTCTTGTATATATACAAATAAATAAATAAATAAATAAACATGTAATGTTGCACTATTTCATTGGTCCTAAGTTCTGACTGGTCCTGAGTGATTGGTTCAACATGGTCCTGAGTTCTCACTGGTCCTGAGTGATTGGTTCAACATGCAATGCAACATTTAAAATCAATAATAATTATTATAGTATATAAAATTGAGAGATTTTAAACATTATTTCCTGCTTGGCTTCTTTTTAGTTGAATAATGTTTCCCTGTTATACAATTGGTACTGTATTTTAAATTGAAGACTACATAGGTTTCTTCCTATCGTTGAAATGTGCACTGGAGTACATAAAGGAAAGTGTGTTGCAAATTTTGCACACATATATGAATAACAGAATTTTTTTTCTTACCTGCCGAGCTCATTAGGAACAATGAAACCTTGGGGTCCTGGACGGGGTCTCGAGCCAGCCCAGAAGAATGTGTCGCCACCATTACCATCGTACATAAAACCCTTTATTAAAAATGTTGTTTCGTCGACAGCATAGACATCGCCACCCACCTGCAAGTCATATATTCTCTGTATGATTGACTGATTGATTGATAAAGATTAAGCCACCCAAGACGTGGCATGGGCATGAATAGCCCATAATTCTCTGTATGAGGATGAAAATGCTGTATAACCTGAAATAACTCTCACTTACTGAAAGAAAGCAGCTAAAGAGTTGTTACAAGCATCCATGATATACAAAGGTCGTTCCAGGAAACACTTCAGAGAACAAAGTGACCTTAACCACTGTGCTGCGCGGAGTTTATTGAGAAATTCCCCGGTGCGCATGAAATGAAGTGTTTCTAAAAAATTCTTTTTTCTTCGTAAAATGATAAATATCCTTCCCTGAACATGTCTATGTAAAAATAAGTACCAAATTCCACTTACTTTGGCTGTAGGGACGTGGACAAGATGCGCTTGTGACGTCATCAGGGCCTGGTCGCCCGTGTGTGACTCGCCCAGACACGGTCGCGCGGGCCATTCAAGCACCGGGTGTTGCCACAAATATATTTTCAATTATTTGTTTTATGCATTTCCAATGCGGTTTTATTTGTTTTTTTTATTGTATATGATGCATATTTGTGTCCTTTACAATATGTATACAGTAGAACGTTCATAATGTTCCATGGAACTGTGATACATGTGTCAGTAATGTGGCCACAATAAATGTTTATTGTCGCAATATTACCTGTTAACAAATCACTAAAATTACAATATGTACAGTTTCACACACTATTTACACAGTAACACATTGTATTACACACTCAGTACTTCGGAAGTGAGTAATAATCAACGAAGTTCATTCTGTGTGCTTGCAAATAACGCACTCACGTACACCCTTGGCTTTAGAACTTGTAGGTTGTATGTAGCCAAGCTTGTAAAGCATAAGGTAGTATTGAAAAGATCAATTTGTAAGGTAGTCTTGAAAAGATCGCCTTGTATGGTCCCACACAGGAAGAGATTCAGCTTACCTCAAGAGTGTCCGTCAGTCAGGAAGAGATTCAGCTTACCTCAAGAGTGTCCGTCAGTCAGGAAGAGATTCAGCTAGCCTCGAAGAGTGTCCGTCAGTCAAGAAGAGATTCAGCTAGCCTCGAAGAGTGTCCGTCAGTCAAGAAGAGATTCAGCTATTCTTGAAAATATCTATGGAAACACCACCATGGAAGCCGCTACCACTGTTCATCTATGCTATTTGTATCAGATGCATCATCACTGAACGCAGAAAACGATTCATCTAAGTATCATCTAAATAAATAGCATAGGATTTCAAGGGTGACGCTCAGAGCTACAACTGGATACGCTCCCTATATCGTCCTTATAGGTGCTGTACCACTGGCATCCGACCTTTGTGTTAGGTCCTTATTGCGCCTGGCTTCCCCAATATTATGACCCTTATGTTCTTCAACCAATAAGGTTTGAATTTCACCGACAGAGCGTTATCTTTCAACGCTGCGTCGGACAGGTGTTTGGGAGCCAGAGGCGCGTGTACCACCCATGGTTGCTCATTGAGTACTAACCCAGCCAGCAGCCCTAGGGCATTCTGGGATTTTTTTCCAAGATGGCTGCCTCTCACTGGAGGTCCTAAGAATCCATTTCGTACACAACCAACCTCGTACACATTTAGATTGGTTACGAAAAATCAAAACGAGTTTTCTCGGTTGGCGCAGTTTTCAGGCCGACCGAGAAAACTTGGTTGGCGCAGTTAAGTGGTTAAGCAACACTTTAACACTAGTGTTCCCTGGACAAATGTTGAAGATCTATTGAAGATCACACACAATGGTGTGTATGTGAAGATGAGTGCAAGAAAGGGTTATGTGTGTGATGATGAGGACAAGAGGAGGGTATGTGTGAGAAGATGAGGGCATTAGTGGTATCTGTGTGAGTATGGACATATGAACCCACTCTTTGACTATGGACATATGAACCCACTCTTTGACTATGGACATGAACCCACTCTTTGACTATGGACATGAACCCACTCTTTGCCTATGGACATGAACCCACTCTTTGACTATGGACATGAACCCACTCTTTGACTATGGGCATAAACCCACTCTTTGACTATGGACATGAACCCACTCTGACTATAGACATGAACCCACTCTTTGACTATGGGCATGAACCCACTCTTTGCCTATGGACATGAACCCACTCTTTGACTATGGACATGAACCCACTCTTTGACTATGGACATGAACCCACTCTTTGACTATGGACATGAACCCACTCTTTGACTATGGACATGAACCCACTCTTTGACTGGACATATGAACCCACTCTTTGACTATGGACATATGAACCCACTCTTTGACTATGGGCATGAACCCACTCTGACTATGAACATAAACCCACTCTTTGACTATGGACATATGAACCCACTCTTTGACTATGGACATATGAACCCACTCTTTGACTATGGACATATGAACCCACTCTTTGACTATGGACATATGAACCCACTCTTTGACTATGGACATATGAACCCACTCTTTGACTTTGGGCATGAACCCACTCTTTGACTATGGACATATGAACCCACTCTTTGACTATGGACATATGAACCCACTCTTTGACTATGGACATATGAACCCACTCTTTGACTATGGACATATGAACCCACTCTTTGACTATGGACATATGAACCCACTCTTTGACTATGGGCATGAACCCACTCTTTGACTATGGACATATGAACCCACTCTTTGACTATGGACATATGAACCCACTCTTTGACTATGGACATATGAACCCACTCTTTGACTATGGGCATGAACCCACTCTTTGACTATGGACATGAACCCACTCTTTGACTATGGACATGAACCCACTCTTTGACTATGGACATATGAACCCACTCTTTGACTATGGGCATGAACCCACTCTTTGACTATGGACATATGAACCCACTCTTTGACTATGGACATATGAACCCACTCTTTGACTATGGACATGAACCCACTCTTTGACTTTGGGCATGAACCCACTCTTTGACTATGGACATATGAACCCACTCTTTGACTATGGATATGAACCCACTCTTTGACTATGGACATATGAACCCACTCTTTGACTATGGACATGAACCCACTCTTTGACTATGGACATGAACCCACTCTTTGACTATGGACATGAACCCACTCTTTGACTATGGACATGAACCCACTCTTTGACTATGGACATATGAACCCACTCTTTGACTATGGACATGAACCCACTCTTTGACTATGGACATATGAACCCACTCTTTGACTATGGACATATGAACCCACTCTTTGACTATGGACATATGAACCCACTCTTTGACTATGGACATATGAACCCACTCTTTGACTATGGACATGAACCCACTCTTTGACTATGGACATGAACCCACTCTTTGACTATGGACATGAACCCACTCTTTGACTATGGACATATGAACCCACTCTTTGACTATGGACATATGAACCCACTCTTTGACTATGGACATATGAACCCACTCTTTGACTATGGACATATGAACCCACTCTTTGACTATGGACATGAACCCACTCTTTGACTATGGACATGAACCCACTCTTTGACTATGGACACATGAACCCACTCTTTGACTATGGACATATGAACCCACTCTTTGACTATGGACATATGAACCCACTCTTTGACTATGGACATATGAACCCACTCTTTGACTATGGACATGAACCCACTCTTTGACTATGGACATGAACCCACTCTTTGACTATGGACATATGAACCCACTCTTTGACTATGGATATGAACCCACTCTTTGACTATGGACATATGAACCCACTCTTTGACTATGGGCATGAACCCACTCTTTGACTATGGGCATGAACCCACTCTTTGACTATGGACATGAACCCACTCTTTGACTATGGACATGAACCCACTCTTTGACTATGGACATATGAACCCACTCTTTGACTATGGACATGAACCCACTCTTTGACTATGGACATGAACCCACTCTTTGACTATGGGCATGAACCCACTCTTTGACTATGGACATGAACCCACTCTTTGACTATGGACATATGAACCCACTCTTTGACTTTGGGCATGAACCCACTCTTTGACTATGGACATATGAACCCACTCTTTGACTATGGACATATGAACCCACTCTTTGACTATGGACATATGAACCCACTCTTTGACTATGGACATATGAACCCACTCTTTGACTATGGACATATGAACCCACTCTTTGACTATGGACATATGAACCCACTCTTTGACTATGGACATATGAACCCACTCTTTGACTATGGACATGAACCCACTCTTTGACTATGGACATATGAACCCACTCTTTGACTATGGACATATGAACCCACTCTTTGACTATGGACATATGAACCCACTCTTTGACTATGGACATATGAACCCACTCTTTGACTATGGACATATGAACCCACTCTTTGACTATGGACATATGAACCCACTCTTTGACTATGGACATATGAACCCACTCTTTGACTATGGACATGAACCCACTCTTTGACTATGGACATGAACCCACTCTTTGACTATGGACATGAACCCACTCTTTGACTATGGACATGAACCCACTCTTTGACTATGGACATGAACCCACTCTTTGACTGTGGACATATGAACCCACTCTTTGACTATGGACATGAACCCACTCTTTGACTATGGACATATGAACCCACTCTTTGACTATGGACATATGAACCCACTCTTTGACTATGGACATATGAACCCACTCTTTGACTATGGACATATGAACCCACTCTTTGACTATGGACATATGAACCCACTCTTTGACTATGGACATATGAACCCACTCTTTGACTATGGACATATGAACCCACTCTTTGACTATGGACATGAACCCACTCTTTGACTATGGACATGAACCACTCTTTGACTATGGACATATGAACCCCACTCTTTGACTATGGACATATGAACCCACTCTTTGACTATGGACATATGAACCCACTCTTTGACTATGGACATGAACCCACTCTTTGACTATGGACATG